TTTATTGGAGATAAGAGTCTCATGAACTTTCCTGCCCAGGCTGGCTTCAAACTGTGATCCTTAGATCTCAGCCTGCTAAGTACCTAGGACTAAAGGAGTGAGCCACTAATACCCAGCTAGTGTGAATTTTTTTTTATTGTGAAAATTCTGTACAGAGGGGTTACAATTACATGGGCAAGGTAATGAGTACATTTCTTATCAAGCATTGTTGCCTCCTCCTTTTTTCGCCTTTCCATCTCCCCCCCCCATCCCCACCCCACCTCCAAATTTTGTTTTTAAAGTCAAAAATAAAATAAATTAGATATTAAGTGGATATATAGGGCATATCAAAGGGAAAACAGAAATTTTATAAGAAATGAGATGAAAAATATATATATATATTTAAACTAATCAATCTGGTTTTAAAATGGACAAAAAGAGAAAAATGAGAAAAAAATAAAAGCATTATTTTTTGCTAAGCAAAGGACAGGTTTCTGGTCCTCTAAGTATTTCAACAGTCTGGTCTCAGTGCTCTGCCCACTGGCTTTTTTCCCTCTGGCTTTGGTGGCCTGCTTCCCAACAGGAAAGGTTTGCTAGCTGCCTTCCTGTTTCCTTTGAGTTGTTTTGCCTAGCAACCTAAGGGCCTGTTTGGGACTAGGTGGCAGTTATTGCTTCTAAAACTGCAGGAGCATACTGGTGGAGATTTCTCCAGGCAGGTCCTAATCTCTGGGGCTTCAAGTGCCTCCTGCTTGGGAGAAGTAGAGAGTATGCAAGGGTCCCCAGGCTCTGTCCTCCCCACCATTCAGAGGGTAATTAATTGGCTTCTATCTACTATGTGAGTCCAAGTTATTTGGCTCCATGTCTCTGACTCAAGACGTCCCTCAGCAGGTAGGCCAGCTTTCCCAGCCGGCTCTCGGTGGACCAGGGTCTGAATCTTGTTGTATGCTCCCAGAGACTGGACAATACATGGACAATATTGGGTCAGCTAACCACTGCTCTGTCATGGCTCCCACCATCTTGCTGTGACCAAATGCTGGAGAGAAAGGAGAATTTTCCTCTTGCCTATGTCTCTGCAGTTTCCAACTTTGCCTGGCTAGACTACAAATCTCCATAGGATTGTGTCTAGTGTTAATTGTATTCTGTGTGTGTGTGTGTGTGTGTGTGTGTGTGTGTGTGTGTGTGTGTGTGTGTGAGTGAGCTCTGTACTAGGGCTTAAACTCAGAACATCAAGATCTTGATTGGCTTTTCACTCATAGCTGGTACTCTACCACATGAGCCATACCTCCAGTTCCAGCTTTTTGCTAGTTAATTGGAAATAAGAGTTTCTTGGTTTTCTCTGCTCTTCAATCCTCACATCTCAGCCTCCTGAGTAACTAGGATTATAGGCACAAGTCCTGTTTTCTGAGTTTTTGCATCTCATTTTTACCCAGAACTTGCACACGTTTTTTTTTAATTCTTCTACACCCACTTTATCCATTTTGCCTTCCAATGCTCTTGTTTTCTTTTCCTTGAGGGGAGGGACTGATGGTTCCTGGTTTTAAATTCACCACCTTGCTCTTGTTGGGCAAGTACTCTGCCACTTCAGCCATGCCCCATTCCTTTTGCTATTTTTACTTTGTTTTTCAGATAGAGTCTTTTTTTTTTTTTCTGGGGCCAACTCAGACTAAGATCCTCCTATCTCTGCCTCCTTCATAGCGGAGATTACATGTCATAATGCCTGCTTCCCACTCCTATTTTAAATAAGGTTCTGTCTGATCACAGTCCGTTTTCTAAAACTGCCTTTTTTCATTCTTTCTGTTGCCTCTTTGGATGTGTACCCTCTGCCAGGCTGGGCTCTCTGCCCATTGGAGCAGTCCTTCTGTTCAGCTTGCCAAAGTTGTCCATCTTCCTTATTAAAAGCTGCCTCTGCCCACTGCTGAACCTTCAGTGCTCTATCCCTCTCACCCACCTGGAAAATGAGTTGTTCTTCAGTTGCTCCCTTCCCTAGAGATGCTAGGTAGGTCGGCCATCTTCACCTCCTCCCAGATGTTTTTTAGTGAGCTCAAACACCAAATTGCACATGAAGATATGCATGCAAGTACAAAGCGTAGCATCTATGTTATTCAGACTTGTCTTGGATACTATTCTTTGTCAGATACTGAGTTTTTCTTCTGTAAGAAACCCTGCCTCCAGCCAGATGAGAACTGTATAGGTTTGGCTCTCCTTTGTATAGAATTCACAAACACCTGGTTTGAGTCAAAAATGTGGCTCACTTGGGCCAGCCAACAAATCATAAAGCAAAGATGGAACCTAGAGCAATCAGATCTCCAGGTACTCTCCCTTCTCTGTTCTAACCCTGTCCTTTAAGATGCCAATTACTTATTCCCCTCTAAGCAACTGCAGGACTTCTAATGCAGAAGTGTTTTCCTCCTGAGGACCTAGGAAGGCAAGAGAAATACATATCTATGAGGCAATTCTTTGTAAAAGTCTATTAATTACAAAAAGCACGAAGGACTGCCTCTCATGTACTTTTGCTCTTCCAAACTTGGTTAATATTTATCAAGTGCCTTATTGCTACGGGCCCATGACCAGGGGGAAGACCTTAGCAACTTCTGAAATTAGATGTGTGACCTTCCAGTAGAAGACAGAACCATTCAATAAAATTCTGTCCCTAACCATCCCCTCAATCCAGTATCACACTTCATCAAATATAAGATGCCACTAATTGTAGAATCTATCATGATTTTATCTAATGCTATTTAATCTCAGGTATCAACTGATTAAAGACACACCTTAGTTTCAGAGCTAAGCAGGCCACACAGTCAAGGACAGTGGAGTAGCCCCTTCCCTTTCCATTGAGGCTAAGAAAGACCACGTGTGGAATGAAGGTAGAGGTAGCTGTTCCTTTAAGAGGAGGCCTGGGGTGGGTGAGAGGCAGACCAGGTGGGCAACTCATACCTAGTACTTGTCTTGCTTCTTTCCCCCATTTCCCCTTAACTTTTGGAGAAAACTGATGATCTTTATAAACATCAGATGGTAGTAACTAAACCTTCATCGAGTGCCTATTGCATGGCAGGTAACATGTTAGGTTCTGCATGTGTCACAGACATTCACTGCATTACCACTCTGGCTCAGTGAGAATGATCACGTGGCCCAGGGGCACATATCTAGCTAGCTAAGCAGGCTGAGCTTCTACTCATTCACCTTGTAAGAGATGAGAGGTATGTGACAGAATCCTGAGTTCCCTGGGGAGAGGGAAAGGCCACTCAGGTGGAATAATCCCAGCCAACCACTTGCTCATACCTGTGATCCTAGCTACTTGGGAGGCTGAGACTTGAGGATCAAAGTTTGAAGACTGCCCCAGGAGAAAAGTCCATGAGACTCTTATCTCCAATTAACTTTCTCCACCCTCTCAAAAATCTAGAAGTGGTGATGTGGCTCAAGTGGTAGAACACTAGCCTTGAGGGAAAAAAAAAAGTTCAGGGACAGTGCCCAGGTCTTGAGTTCAAGCTCCAGTACCAACACAACAAACAGACAAGCAAAACTCCAGGTAGAAAAGCGGTGAACCCAGCCCAGGGTGTGCTCCCTGGGAACTCTCTCTCTCCCCTTCTATAGCCCCCACTTAGACGTGAAGGTGAGAAGAAGGGGGGCCTTAAAGGAAGGGTAGGAGCAACAAAGTGAGGAGAAGGGGAAGTGTGAGCAAGGCAAGCCATTTGCAAGGAGAGGCTGGCCAACACCTGAGGAATGAGGGAAGATTCAATCAAAGGTACACTTGGGGGTGAGAGTGGGGGTGGCAGCAAGAAGATGATGAGCCAGGAAGTTACAGGCAATGTGCAGACCTCCACAAGGAATTTGCATAATGAGAGGAAAATCACCCTTTTGGAATTTGTGGTGGCGGCCATCTAGTATTGAAACAGTATCCTATAATTTGTCCCATTTTCCAAGGAGAATCGACAGTGAGTCGCACAAGGATCTGGAAAGTGAACCAAGTGTTTTCCAGGCCCTAAAACCTTCTGTCCTTTGTTGCAGGGGGAGCCAGGGAACCCCATGATGTGCCAGCTCCAGGAGTTTGATCTGTGGGTCTTGAGAGGACTCTTGACTCCAGGAGGAGACCAGTGTCCCGGCCTATTCCTGTATACCAAAGTGGAAGATTACAGCGACTGGATCATGTCCAAGGCTAGGAAGGCTGGCCCTTCCCTGTTTTCACTCCATCCCTGGGAGAAGTTGATCCCAGCAACCTACCACCAGCCATCGGCCCTTTTCCCCCTGAGCACTTTTCCCCCTGCACCGCACCCCGTGGCCTGGTCCCACTCCCAAGAACCAGACAGGACCACTGTGTACTCAGTGCCAGCAAACGGCTCTGGAGATTCCAGTCAAGCCTTCAAGGTGAAGGGGATCCAGGATGCAGACAGACATTCCGAGGGAGCCTCTCAACCCGTGTACTATGACTACTATGGTGGTGAGGCTGGGGAGGAGACTACTGCAGGTCAGAGTAGGCTGCGTCAGCCCCAAGCAATGAGCTTCGTTTTCTCCGTGCTAGTTTTCTTTGGCAGCGGTGCCTAGTCTAGCTAACCCACCACCATATGGAAGAGGAAGCTCGGAGCACTGAGTGCCAGGCATTCACCAGGCCCTTTTGGTGTCTGTTTTTGATAGGTGCTCACCTGGGCTGTCATGGATTGGCATGCACCATGGGGCTGGCTCTCCTGCCTCACTCCTACTTTGGAAGGCCACTTCCATTTGTCCTTGTGAACTAAATGTGTGGGCTAACAAGTGTCAAACCATTCCAGTGCCCTGTGGTTCTTTCAATGGGAAATGGTTCCTGGGGCCAGGGTGCAAAGATACTTTCCATGGGTACTCGTAGCCCGGGAGGAGGTGATCGGCCTGGCTGGGGAGTTGGGGACACCAGTTAGCACAGAGAAAAGTCAGATGACCCTAGGACTAGAAAAGCACTGAGTGCTTTAATGGATCACTTGATCTGCAAGCTATTCCTTTCCAACCTCCCCGCCCCCACCGCTGCCTCCCATTCCCCCCCCCCCAATCCCTTATTTCGCAGGAGGGCCTGTCGCCTGCATCTGCTCATTGCTGGTTTTCATTTTATTCCAAGCCTTGCGATAGCCTTTTAAGGATATCTGTAAAACACACAAAGTGGGGAGAAGGAAAGGAGAGAAAACCTGAGTAAACTCAGTGTGCCTGTTTCTAATGCATCTACTTCTAGCCCCGCAGAGGGTACAGATGACGTGGGCTGGGGCGGGGGGTGGGGGGAGACAGCTGGGTAGAGGCTCCCAGGGGTCAGCTACCACCCCAAACCTAAAACCACATTGCCAGTTCCTGCAGCCTCTGGGGCTCAGATGTGACCAGACCCAAGTTGGGATCCTAAATTCCTCCCTGCCACAAAGCAGTCACAACAAAGACAGAAGGAAGTCACGTGAAAAATGTAGCTGGGACTCAGATGTGAAAACGCCCAGCTCCCAGTTTTCCAAGCAGCCCAACTGGGTTCTTAAGCCACAGTAATTCTGTCTTTGAAATGACCTCAGTGTTCGCAAGGGCTGTATGGTCCCAAGCTCTACTGTATAATCTGACAGCAGCATGTCATGGTCCCATTATCCAGAAGTTGACAAGGGACCAGGGGGCTTCCATGAACACTGCGCCATGCCCAGGGGCCGCAGGAGGACTCAAACACGCAAAGACCCTGGCAACTATGGAAAGGAATGCAGTCGAGTACCAAGTGACATTCAAAAATGCATTCTTGTCTCATTTTTAAGAATACTCCTCCATGTGCAAATCACTATTCAGAAGCTTCTAGAATTCATGATAGCAACAACTAAAAATACACTATTACTATAGTCTCTCCCTGATACCAAAACTAACAACAATAACAGTAAAAATAAAACATTTGTAAAAAGGAGTTTTAAAAGCCATTTCTCATTCTTCTTTTATAGCCGAAGCAATTGTTGAAATGTCTCATAGACAAAATACGTCCAGCCTGGTGCCGGTTGTTCACGCCTAGCTACTCAGAAGGCTGAGATCTAAGGATCATGATTCAAAGCCAGACCAGACAGGAAAGTCCATGAGATCCTTAGCTGCAATTAACCACCAAATAGCTGTGGCACTAGCCACAGGCTCAAGACACTAGTCTTGAGGAAAAAAAAAAAAAAAAAAAAGCTAAGTGATAGCACCCAGGCCCTGAGTTCAAGTCCTATGACCAGCATACATACAAAAAAAATTTTTCTCCAAATGTCTCTATTATTTTAGGCCAACAAAACAGACCCCTAAACAAAACTTTTGAGGAGCATGAAAGATTTGTCAAGCTGTAGAGAAGGTATCATCCCACCTTGGGTCCTCAGGCTCACCTCTGCAATCTCCACTTTCCTCTCCCACATCTTGATGGTCTTCTCTAGGTCCCCAATTAGGATCTTTTCCTTGACGTACATCATCACTGGTGGCGCCCGGAACTCAGCTAGCTGCTTCCTCAACTGCTTGTTCTGAGACTCAGCACTGGACCGGTCCTGAGTTGGGAAGGGCAGATTAGCTCCAGGGAAATCGGGAGGCTCCTGCTCAGAGGACGCTGTGGCCCTGGCATCTCTCTGCAGTCCTAGTGTAGTTCTAAAAACAGTGGGGTTTTTTTTGTTTGTTTCTGATATTCGTTTGTTTACAGATTATAACTTTTTTTTTGGTGGTACTGGGGATTAAAAACCACTTGCTTGCACTCCAAGCAAGCACTCCACTACTCAAACCATGTTTCCAGGCCTTTCATGTTTGTTGTTGTTTTGTTTTTTGTTTCCTCAGATAGGGTCTTATACTTCTTATACTTCTGATCTCACTACCATCAACTCCTGTGTAGGTGGCATTAAGGCTACCATGCCCAGTCAGATTGCAATGTTTTAAAGTCAATGAGAATCACCAGCTTTTTCTTTCTCTTCACTTCCTTTCCTATCTCTACTTCATCCCAACCTTGTTTTGGTTTTAGTTTGGGCTTTGGTTTTATTAAGATGGGGTCTTGCTACATAGCCCAGGCTGTCCTTGAATTTACTATGTGACCCAGATTGGCCTCAAACTCTTGACCCTCCTGTCTCTACCTCCTGAGGTTGGCCTCCGCTACCATACTCAGCTTCCCTTTCCTGCATTCTTTCTTCCCTTTCTCCTTTACTAAGGAATATGCTTTACTTACGATTTATTTGTAAGAAAAAATGTCTATTTAACTTCACTTTAACTTCAGACCCATAAAATTTGCTACTTTTTTTTGGTGTGTGCTGGTCCTGGGGCATGAATTCAGGGCCTTGTGTTCTTGCTTGGCCTTTTCAGTCAAGAATGGTACTCTACCACTTCAGCCACAGCTCTACTTCCAGCTTTTTGCTAGTTAATTGGAGATGAGTCTCACAGACTTTTCTGGGCTGGCTTCAAATTATGAGCTTCAGTCTCCCTCCCTTTCTCCCTCCCTTTCTCTCCGCCCCGCTTCCAGGAGGGCACCCATACTCTGTTAGAGTGTGCACCTGCCCTTCTGTTCGTCTGTTTGCCTGCCTGCTTGCTTACTCAATTAAGCTCTGCCAAGTTTTCTTACAAAAAAATTGTGATCTTCAGATCTCAGCCTCCTAGTGGCAAGGATTATAAGCATGAGTCACCAGCATCCGGCTACTTGAAACACTTTTAAACATTAAATACATTCACACTGTAGTATAATCCCCTTCACCGTGTGTCCCCAGAACTTTCCCTCTTCCCAAACTGCAACTCGGTCCTCATAAGCAATCCCATTCTCTACAGATCCCTTAAGGAACTTTTCAGAGCGTCAGCTATAGTGAACATAACATTACTAGGTTGTAAGTCCAGCTTCTGATCTGATGGCTCAGAGCTATTTTGACTTTTGTGATCTCAGCTTCTCTGGGGAAATCATCAAGAATCTAGGAGTTTGGTAGATATACATGCAAGTGCTGTGTGCAGGAGACAGACATCAGAAATGGCATGTTTTGCCCTCTCTTACGTCCTCGGCCTGTAGGGTTTCTTTTTCAATTTTTTCAAGTAGTTCAGTTCTCGTTATGATCTCCTTGTCCAGGTTGATGTTCAGTTCCATTGCCCGGTAAAGCTTGCTCTGAAACACAAAGCTTCCATTAAGAGCTTGAGAGACAAGTGTACCAGGGGCTCAACCTGCTACTCAAGAGGCTGAGATCTGAGGATCAAGGTTCCGAACCAACCTGAGTAGAAAAGTCTAAGAGACTCTATTGCTAATTAACCAGAAAAATGCTGGCCTGGAGGAGTGGCTCAAGTGGTAGAGCACCACCCATGAGCAGGCAAGCTGAGCAAGAACACAAGGCTCTGAGTTCAAGCCCCAGTAAAAGGATTAACAAATTTGCCAGGTGCTGATGGCTCATGCCTGTAATCCTAGCTACTCAGGAGGCTGAGATCTGGGGACTGCAGTTCAAAGCCAGGCCTGGCAGGAAAGTCCATGAGACTCTCATCTTCAATAAACCAGAGTGGAGCTGTGGCTTAAGTGGCAGAGCTCTAGTTGAGCACAAAGAAGCTCAGGGACAGTGCTCCAGCCCTGAGTTCAAGCCCCAAGACCAGCGCGCGCGCGCACACACACACACACACACACACACACACACACACACACACACAGAACTTGAAAAGGCACAGAGGAGTAGAGGGAGGAGAATCTAGGCCTGCCTATGCACAGGAACTTAGGTCTTTGGAATCTTGAGGACTGAGAACTAGAGTGGTTAGACACATGTAGACCAAAATCCTGCCTCACTCTTATTAAGGACAACTTTAGGCAAGTCCTAGAACTTTATTAATACTGGTGCAGCCACTGTCTGGTAGGATTGTGGCCCTTCTGGTAGAGAATTAGACACAGTGCCTGACACATGAACCCTCAGCAGGCGCCATGACCACCTCTAGAGGTGGAGATTGTGGTGAGAAGGACCACCACAGGGTGGATGAGAACCCTTGGTCCCTTTACAGGTGAGAAAACTGACCCTCAGGGAGGTGAATCAATCGTCCAAAGATCACACAGACAGTAGGAGCCAGGATTTGAAGCCAGGCAGTATGATTCTGCTGCCCATGGGTCCACCATGGGCCCAAGGCAGGGGCTGGAATTCCTCAGAAGCTGCCCTGAAGATTCTTTGTGCATCATCTGAAATTCCATTTCCCCCCCACCCCCACCCCCACCCCCACCGCCTTCTTACATGGGAAGCTGTCAGCCTGTATTGAGTTGGGATGTGCTCTGCTTAGCTGAGGAATGGGCCAGTAGAAGAAGCTAGAGATTTCAGGGGGTTCATTGGTCCAACAAACCTTGAACACTATCCCACCCTTTACCAGGCACTGGCTGGTGGAAAAATCTAGGCCTGTCTCCAGGAGGCCAGCCTCAGCCCAGAGGTGGGGAGGCTGGCAAATCACTGCAGAAAAATTGTAGCAGCCTTACTGTGCCAAGAAGAGACTATGCTAGGGCAGTGGAGGAGGAGAGAGCTATTCTGTCATGGAGAGAGGTGGGGGGGGTGGGTGGAGTCAAGGATGACTTTAGCACTTGGAGGTATGGCTCAGTTGGTAAAGTGCCATCCAATGAATGAATGAATTGGAGTCTCAGTCTCAGACAAAAAGAAAGAGGGGTGTGTGTGTGTGGGGGGGGGGGAAGTATGGGAAGAGGAAAGAGGAAGAGAAAGACCTTCCAAGCCAAGAGCCTAGGGGAAGAGGGGAAGAGCTACAGAGTCACAAAATGGAGGTGGGGGGGGCAGGAATGGAAGGGAAGGGGTGTGGTTATGGGGTGTCAGCCTGGAGCCACCTGGGAGGCCTCAGGCACCCAGGAGTCATTCTCCTCTCCACTTGTCCCTCTTTTTTGGGGGGGGAGGTGGAGCCTGGGGCTTGAACTCAGGGCCTGAGTACTGTTCCTGAACTTGAACTTCTTTTGCTGAAAGTTAGTGCTCTACTACTTGTGCCACAGCTCCACTTCTGGATTTTTGGTGGTTAATTGGAGATAAGAGTCTCATGGACTTCCTTGTCTGGGCTAACTTTGAACCTCAAAATCCTCAGATCTCAGCCTCCTGAACTGAGAAGATTACAAGCAGGCCATGAGCCACTGGTGCCCAACCACACCTCACTTCTTAAAAGCTCATTTCTTGCTCCATGTCTTGTGTGTGAATGAGACCAAACTGAAGAGGACAGTAGAGGCTGTGGGGGGGGAAGGGCAGGGCAAGGCGGGGCAGGAATTCTAGCAAACTAGCCAGGAGGTGTGGGGAGGGGAGGGGAAGGATGATGTTCACCCAAGCACTCAGGAAGTCAGGGAAGGAGGGATGGAACAGCCAGGACACAGAAAGGCAACCCCTGTCTCTGCTGGGGCCAGGTATCCATGAAGGCATGGTGGAGCCAGAATGTGATGCTGGGCAGAGGGGTCAGGCATCTGAGTAGGCCACCTCTGAAAAGGACCCAGTCTAGTAAACCACCACAGACTCTGTAGCTTAAAGCCACAGCCATTTCGCTTTTCTGTTGGTTCCCCCAGCCTCCCTTGTTTCTGGGGCTTGAACTCAGGGCCTGGGCACTGTCCCTGAACTGCTTTTTGCTCAAGGCTAGCACTCTGCCACTTGAGCCACAGCTCTACTTCCAGCCTTTTGGTGGGTTAATTGGAGATAAGGGTCTCACTGACTTTTCTGCTTGAGCTGTCTTCAAACCGCAATCCTCCACACTCAGCCTCTTGAGGAGCTAGGATTATAGGTGTGAGCCTCTGGCACCCAGCTCCATGGCCATTTCTTATCTCTTCTTCTCTATAAGGCAGAAGACTGGTTATACCAGCTTCTCTGGTCATGCCACCACCGGACTGAAACCAGTATTGACCAGGATGGTGGGTGTCATCTGAGACACAAGGTCCATCTCCAAGCTCACTGGCTGTTTGTTGGTAGAACTCACTTCCTTGCACTAAGGTGCTGTTTTCTTTCTGGCAGGTGTCTCTCAGCTCTTAGAGACCACTCTAAGACCCTTTCCGCGTGGCTTTCTCTATCTTCAAGTACTAACAGAGAACTTTTGACCCAGAAAAAAAATAGCATTTCTGCTTCACCTCTCTATCTCTTACAAAGGAATTCTACTTTCAATAGTTTCATGTGAGTAGGCCAGGCCCACCAGGATATTTTAGGATCAACTGTGCCACATAATGTTACCTATTCATGCAACAGACATAGCCTGATGGTAGAAGCTGTCATATCAGAGCTTTGGCTGGGATTATTCAGGGTATATGCACCAGGGGCAAGTGTCTGAGGACATCTTAAAATTCTACCTTCTTGGGGCTGGGAAGGTGGCTCAGTGGTAGAGCGCTTGCCTTGCATGCCTGAGGCCCTGGGTTCAATTCCTCAGTACCACATAAGCAAAAAAGAAAAAAAAAGCCGGAAGTGGCGCTGTGGCTCAAGTGGTAGAGCACTATCCTTGAGCTGAAGAGCTGAGGGACAGTGCCCAGGCCCAGAGTTCAGGTCATGACCAGACCCCCAAAAAAAAAAAAAATTCTACCTTCTTCCAGACACCCAGTCATTAGTCAAAAGTGACTCATGAGCTAGGGTCTGGGGACTCACACCTGTAATCCTAGCTACTCAAGAAGGTAAGCCCTGGAAGATCAATGTTCAAGGCCAGCCTAGGCAGCAAAATTCACTAGACTCCACCTCCAAAATAACCAGAAACAAGCAGAGCTGGAAGCGTGGGTTAGGTGGTAGAACACCAGCTGAGCAAGTGTGAAGCCCACAGTTCAAACTTCTGGGCTGCCCACCAAAACTTTATTTAGTCAATGAAAGAGCAGAATGATGTATGGCAGCTGTGCTAGCCCATCACACAGAAGAGGCTGTGTCTATCTGAGAGGTCTAACTGCTATCCCCTGAGCACTTGACCTTGTACCTGACATATAGGTTGATGTTTTTGCCAGTAGACGAGAATTATTCTATACATTGTTAATAAGGTGTCATAGTTAGGTGTTTGGCATTCATGTCGGTGTTTCTCCTGTCCCACACCCAAACCCACCAAACACACACCTGAATTCTCAGCAGGTCATTTGGCAGTCATAGCTGAACATACCTGCTCTGGCCAGCCTGTCTTTGGTGCTGATACAGCCCAGCCCAGATAAAAACCCTTAGACACAAGACCTCAGCTCTCCCTCAGCAGAACCACCATCGAATCCCTCCCCAGCCCGGGGGAAGGGGGTCCTGCTCCCCAAGCCACAGCTGCTCTGCCTCTGTTTCCTTGGGCAGAGCTGAGAACTGGAACCTGGAGGAAGTGTGCCTGATTTCTACCCTCACCTGTCACTTGGGTCCACCTTTAAATGCCTGTGGGTATCCCCTCACAAAGGCCCCCCCCCTCCCGCCCATCCCTGCTGCTATCAGGTGCAACAGGCTCTGGACCAGAATGGCTCCTTCAGCCCTCTGCGGCCTGTGCTGCTGCTGTAATCCACAGTGAGTTTAGGGATGCCCTGCAGAGCTCAGCTGAGCACCTGGCAGCTTCCCTGCATAAATCGATAGCAAGACCAGACAGGTCCCACATTATTTCAGTGACTTTACGGGTTAAGATGGAGGTCCCACATGATCTGAGCATGTGCTTCCGGCTTGATGCAGTCCCAGGGACTGACTTGGTGTGATGCCATGATCAGATACCCAGCGCTGATGCGATAAGCTCCGCGGGTGACCTGCTGGATGGCTGGATGCTTATGACACATCCATTTCCAAGTGCTTGCACAGTATGTCCTGCATATTCTATGGAGGAGGAGAGGCAAATGAATGGGTCACAGTGGGCTGGGAGTCCAGCCCCAGCTCTGTCTCCAACCTGAGTCCTGAATCTGGCAAATATTCTATATCTTTGAACCTTGGGTTTTTATTTATTAAAGAAAAATATTTAACAAACATAAGCCTGGTCCGAATATATTCAAGTTACTTTTTTTTAAAAACCAGGGCTTGAACTCACATGATCACTGTTGCAATTAACTAGCCTGGACTGGCTTCAAACCTCGATCATCCTATTTCAGCTTTCTTTGTGGCTAAGATTACAAGCATGAATTACTAGATGTCTGCTGACCAACTCAAATTAACTTTGTGTGTATGTGCGTGTGAATGCATGTGTGTGTGTGTGTGTGTGTGTGTGTGTGTGGTGTGTGTGCTGTTCCTGGCTCTTGGACTCAGAACCTAGGTGCTGTATCTTCGCTTCATTGCTAAGGTTTAGTGCTCTACTACTTGAGTGTCAGCTCCAATCCCAGCTTTTCTGGTGGTTAACTGGAGATTAGAATTCCATTGGCTTTCTGGCTGACTTCAAACTACAATCCTCAGATTTCAGCCTCCTGAGTAGCTAGGATTACAGGCATGAGCTACCAGCACCCAGCTTCAAATGTACTCCTCTCCTCTCCTTTCCTCCTTTCCTCTTTTCCTCCTTTCCTTCTTTCCTTCCTTCCTTCCTTCCCTTCCCTTCCCTTCCCTTCCCCTTCCTTCCTTCCTTCCTCCCTCCCTCCCTCCCTCCCTCCCTCCCTCCCTCCCTTCCTTCCTTCCTTCCTTCCTTCCTCTCTGTCCAAGGCTAGGAATCCAACTCAGTACTTGTGGCTTTCACTCATCGGTTAGCACTCTATTAACTGAGACAATCCTTCAGACTTACATTTTAAAACAATACTGTGTGGGTCAAAAGACACCGCAGAGTGAGTGCCTATAGCCACCATTGTTATTTGGGCACTAGGCCAGGAAGCAGTAGACTTTTTCCATAAAGAATCAGATACTAAATAGTTTAAGTTTTTGTAGGTCAAGAGGCAAATATCACATATACTATGTAATTATTTATATTAGCAAGAGAAAAAAATCCCTAAATTCCAATATTATATTGATGAAATTAAAAGTGTAAGACTGAACTATAATATTTTAGAATTCAGGTCTGCTAATGAAAAGAGGGAATTTCTTGGGGAGAAGTCAGTTTTCCTTCTCTGGGTTTTGGAACTCCGAAAATGTTTTCTATCATCTAATTTCCTGCAAATGTTTTTCTGTAAAAGCCATTCTGAGCTCACAGGCCAGCGGGTAGAACACACTTGTTCAGCTTGCTAACCACTATGACAGTCAGACAAGAGTCACTCATAAGGTGGCCAGATGGCCTGGTGTGCCGGGGAGAGGCCCTAATCAGCCAATAGGCTCTACTTAATTATTAATAGTGCCTTCTTCTTTCCCTAGGACATTGTATTTGGGTGATAAATAATTTAGTCATTCCCTGATTTATAGCTGAGACTGTTTTCCTTTGTCACGTTTTAAGTAGGGAAGCACTTAATATATGCCTAAGTTAAACACAGACCTAAATGTGGTTAGCGTTTTTAAAAACATCATGCATAAAATTAACCTGGAGAGATGGGGACTGGTGGCTCACGCCTGTAATCCTAGCTACTCAGGAGGCTGAGATCTGAGGACTGAAGCAGGGCTGTTGCTCGAGTAGTAAAGTGCTAGCCTTGAGCAAAAAAAAGCTCAGGGACAGTGTCCAGCTCCCAGGACTGGTACACACAGGCAAAAATAAATAAATAAATAAAATCATCTGGAGAATTCAAAATGAAGTGTCAGACATGGGCTGTACCCCCTAATCCAACCAATATCTGTGGAGTAGGGCACTGTTTGTTGTTATTTTGTTTATTTACACATACACATACATATATCTACATGCATATACATGTAGATATATGTACACACACATGTATATGTTGGTCTCATGCTTCCAGAGTTGTGGAAGGAAATTTTAGGAGGCATGGTTTTGTTGAGAGAAGTCAGGAGGCAGTACTGGGTGAAATTGCACAAGAACTTCCCTATGGCTGGACAGTTGGGTGTGGGCATCAGTCAGGGGTGCTGCGTGTTGGGGTATGTAGGCTCTGGGGCAGGCTGAGTCTTACTTTGTATGCATTAAGGGTCTGCAGAGTGCTTCCAGCGGCCAGCTTCAGCTGGATCAGCTCTTGATTCCTCGCTTCAATTGTCTCTACATACTGAGCATTTTCAATCTTCAACTGCTGAAAATCAACATCGTGGAGGGCCTCGCCCACCTCTTCCTTCTACAACTCAGAAAGAAGGAAAGATGGTTCAAATATGATTTCTGAATGTAGCCTCCCACCTTGAAACTTCAGGATGAGAGTTTGGAGATCTGTTATCATTCAGTCATTCCACAAATGTCCTGGGCAACCGTGCTATGGTCTGGGGATGGATGTTTGAGCTAATACAATGCTCCTTGGCCCAGCTAAACTGTGGTGCTGGGAATGGGAAAAGGGACACATAGAAGTCCTGGGCGGGGCCAGGAAAGGATTCCCTCAAAGGGTGGTACCTAAACAAGGCTGTAAGGAAGAGTAGGGATCCAATCATTAAAAAGTCTTTTGTAGCTGGGCACTATTGGCTCACACCTGTAATCCTAGCTGCTCAAGAGGCCAAGATCTGAGGATTTTGATTTAAAGCAAGCCCAAGCAGGAAAGTCTGTGAGACTTTTATCCCCCACTAAACTACAAAAAAAAAAAAAAAAAAAAAAGCCAGAAATGGAGCTTTAGCTCACCTGGTAGAGCACTGGCCTTAAACAAAAGATCAGGTACAGTGCCCAGGCCCTGAGTTTAAGCCCCAGGACTGGCTCACACAAGTCGTTTGTAAACCTGGAAAACCCCTCCTTTGCTTCTAAGTTGCTCCTACAGGGTGGTGTGTAATAACATCAGGCTACCTACTTGATTTGCCCTCATACTGCCTGCCCAGCTAGACCTTTGCTATCTTAAATTTGGGGCTATATTTGTTCAACTTGGGGGTAGTTATAAAGTGCTTTTTCTTTCCTTCTTCTCAAACCATGATTTCTTTAAGCCCCAATATCACCAGTCTTCTAGCTCTCATACATTCCACCTGTTTTCTTGCCCTGTGGGCAATCCCTTTCTCCCTGATTTTTTTTTGCACAGTAGCTGAGTTTCTTATTAGCTGCTACAAGGTCAAAATTACCTAAAATAATGTGCTTTTTTTTGGTCTTACAGTTCTGGTCAGAAATCTAAAATGGGTTTGGGGGCTAAAACCAGGATACTGGCAGACCTTGAATCCTTCTGAAGCCTCTCAACACTTCCAGATTCTAGAAGTTTCCTGTATTCCTTGGCTTATGACCCCTTCCTGTATCTCATCACTTTGATCTCTGCTTCCCTTGTATCTTCTTTTACCCTCCCAACCGGCTCGCAGACAGAAGGAGATCACATTCAGTCCAAGATCACCTCCCCATCTCAACTTACTTCATCATGTCTGAAAAATCCTTTTGTTGCATAAAGTCACAGATCCCAAGAGTTAAGGCAGGAGCAGCTTTGGCGGGCATGAAAGCTATGATCCGATCTGCCTTTGAAAGGAAATATAGAGGGGGGAAAAGCCACATACCTGTCGCAATTGTAAAAGCATTTTTTTCCTCTGAACTTTGAGAGAAACATTTTTCAAACATAATTTATCCTTCATATTATCCTAAGGAAAAAAAAGTATATTATAATCAGTTTCTCTTCTTTTATCCCTGTTGGTTTGAAAAGTAGATGTGGAGCTGCCAACCAGACCTTGAACCTAACATCCCATCATTTATTTGAAGTCCTTTTACTTCCACCCTGGCCGGCACTGCAATGGTGTTTCACACGTGGGTAGCATGCAGAGGAAACTGGGTATGCTCCATGCAAATTGCTTTTCAACTCAAATTTATTTGGGTGTGGGGCTCCTGGAAGGGGGATTTCTTGACAAAAATGATCTTATGATTCTGTAGTTTCTTTCTTTCTTTTTTTTTTTTTTTTGCCAGTCATGGTGCCTGAACTCTGGGCCTGGGCACTGTCCCTCAGCTCTTCAGCTCGAGGCTAGTGCTCTACCACTTGAGCCACAGCACCACTTCCAGCTTTTTCTGCTTATGTGGTGCTGAGGAATCGAACCCAGGGCCTCATGCAAGCAAGGCAAGCACTCTACCACTGAGCCACCTTCCCAGCCCTGATTCTGTAGTTTCTTATTCTCACATGTTGGCTCACATGTTAGATGTAGTACAGGCTCCAGAGCTTCTCTGGAAATGAAGGCCTACTACATGTCTCCTCCCCCAAAATCCCCACTTCTCCCTTTCTAAGACCTAATCAGCAGCCAACTCACCCTCCGGCGGTTCATTTCCTCTATGTACTTCATTACTTTTTGAGTGGCCAAAATACTGCCTTTCTTCTTGGATATGGTTTTTAGAATATCTTTTTCAAAGTCATGCACTGCTCTCTGAACTTCAGTCCATCGAATTTCAGCTTCTTCGATGATGGCCTGGGAGAGTAAGAATAAGTGGGATGAGTTTCCCAAAATTCCCAAGGACACATTCCCTGGGGATACCGAAATTCCCAAGCTGTTTTATGCCCCAAAATATAAAACGTCTTAGTCTTAGAAAGACAGATACAAACCTGATTACATGAATATTATTTTATTGTTTAAGAACTAGGAGGCAGGGCTGGGAAGGTGGCTCAGCAGTAGATCGCTAGCCTTGAGCTGAAGAGCTGAGGGGCAGCGCCCAGGCCCAGAGTTCAGGCCCCACGACCAGACCCCCCCCCAAAAAAAAGGGTAGGACAAACAAACAAAAGCAAAGTCTTACCTATCTCTATAGATAGGTATTTGAAATATTATTTACCCATTAAAAATAATGTTATGTTAAATTATCTAGAAGGACATAAGGCAAAACCTTAATCATAGTTAAGTCTAGAGAATAAGTTTGTAAGGAAGTAAGACACTCATGCATTTCTGTACCTTCAAAAAGATGTTATAACAGAGAGGCCCATCAGCTACACATTAGATGAAAATGAACTAAGCAACCCAAGACAGCGATGGGAAGGGAGGAATGAGAGGGAAAGAGGGAACAGCCTACATTCAGCAAGAAGAAAGAAATGTAAATATCACCTGATGTGGAAGAAATAATTGTATTGTCCAAGCTCATAGACTTCACAAACTTTATGGACCATGATAATGACAATTTGCCTTGTGAAGGTTAAAATGTGTTTGTGACTTTAACTAAATATCACTATTCCACAATACTGTGATATGTGACATTTATGTAATCACCTAATCTCAATTAAAAAATTAATATTAAAAAAACAACAAAAAGATGTTATAAGTAAAAATATGTGTAAAAGTAAAAAAAAAAAAAAATGCCCGCAACCTAGCAGGTTAGGACAATGGTAGCATATTGGAGGCTCCTTTAACTTGCTGGAAGTGTCCATTTGGAAAGAGAAAAGAAGGGGAGAATGTCACAAGGATAGGGAGAGAGGGAAGGAGAAAGAAGTTCTGATGGTTCATTGATAGGAGATATGGATCAACTTGGCACATCCACTGGAAGCAACAAGTGTGATTTTACATGCGTTGGCCTTTCAGTAGAAAAACAGAAAGAGGTGTCTATTTGTCATATCACATGGTTCTCAAAGGCACTGTGAACAATCCAATCAATAGGGATGGTTCTCCCATCCCTGGAGGAGAAACAAACCACTGTGTTGTACTCACTGGGAGATACTGTTGGAATCCATCAGGGCTTGCACCATGACCATGCACACAATACACGAAGGACAACTTAGGGTTTTGTTTTTTTTAACCAATTACTCACTTAAACATCAAACTCCTTTTATTATTAAAGAATTGTAAACTTTTGAAGGTATGCTGTGGTTATGGGTTTTGTTTTAAAGAATCCATCTCTTAAATCCTTATGCTAAAATACTTAGATAAATAATATGACTAGGGTACACTTCCTAATAACCCTGGGAGTGAGGAAAAAATTGGGGCAATGATGACTGAAGAGCACCCCTCCATTGACCAGCGTTGCACTGGGGTATTGAGCACAGAGGGCTTCGTTGTGTTACTGTGCTACATTAGTGTGTTTTGGAAAAAATTTTTAAATTAAGATAGTTTTATTTTTGTTTGTGTTTTGTCGGTCGTGGGTCTTGAACTCTGGGCCTGGGCACTGTCCCTCAGCTCTTCAGCTCAAAGCAAGTGCTCTGCCACTTGAGCCACAGTGGCACTTCTGTTTTCTGGTGGTTAATTGGAGATCAGAGTCCAGCAGCCTTTCCTGTCTGGACTGGCTCTGAACCACAATCCTCAGATCTCAGCCTCCTGAGTAGCTAGGATTACAGGGGTGAGGCACTAGTGCCCAGCTATTAAGATAATTTTACATGTGTTGTCTGTCAAGTAAGTGGCAAGTTCTTTAAAGGTAAGGAGGGCCTCAATTTGTCTTATCCTGCCTGTGTTTCCTCTAAAACACCAACAGTAACACAGACATACCATAGGCACTCCCTGATGAGGTGTAAGTGGGGGCCCAGGAAGGACAAAGAGATACCTCCTGATCCTGCAGGTCCCGTTCAGCATTGGCTCTCATATGCCTTATTTCATCCTTTGTGTCTTCCAGCTCCCTTTGTACAAGCTCAAGTTTTTGGTCTACAGCCAGGCCTGCCAAGCGGTCCATGCGGGCCTTGGATTTCCGTCTGCTTCGAAACTATTAAACCCAAGAGAAACAAAGTCACTGTCAAAGAGGAATTGGTGGCATTTACCAGTGGCTCACACCTGTAATCCTAGCTACTTAGGAGTTTGAAATCTGAGGATTGAAGTTCAAAGCCAGCCTGAGCAAGAAAGTCTGTGAGCCCCTTCTGTACAATGAATTACCAAAAAAGCTAGAAGTGGAGCTATGGCTCAAGTTGGTAGAGTGCTAGCCTTGAGCAAAAAACCAAAACCAAAACAAAAAAAAAAAAAAACAACAAAAAAACCAAGGGACAATACCCAAGCCCAAAGTTCAAGCCTCAGAACCAGCACATACACTCAAAAACATCAGCCCAAGATGGATATCAAATGATCCCTAAGAACTGTCAGAAACCTCCCTGAATGAAGTTAGAGGGGATAAATGCCTGGTAAAGAGATGCTGTTATGCTTTGAGCCTGAAATGTTCCTGGAAGGTTCGTGGGTTGAAGGCCTGATTCCCAGTACAGCAGTCTTCAGAGATACAGCCTTTGAGAGGTGATCACAACATCTCTAACCTCATTAATGGCTTAATCCATTAGCAGGTGGGAGGTGATGGAAATTTGGGAGGTGGGATCTGTTGAAGGGAGTGGGTTCTTCCAAGTATGCCTTGGGGGCTGTATTTTGTCCCCAGCATCTTTTTCTCCATCTCTTTCTGAGTTCTGTTGCCATGAAGTGAGCAGGCTTCCCCAACACATATTCCCACCATAGTGATATGCCTCACTTCAAGTTCAAAGCCATGAAGCCAGTCAATGAACAAAGACCTCTGAAACCAGAGTCAAACTCAATCTGCCTTCTAAGTTGATTGCTCAGGTGTTTGTCACAACCACACCAAATTAGGCCAAAGGGGATTTTGATTTCCCAAGTCATCTAAGGCCTTGTACTAAGATCTATTTTGGACAATAATTTTTTTTCTATTTTTTTTTTTTTTTTGTCGGTTGTGAGGTTTGAACTCTGGGCCTGAGCACTGTCCCTCAGCTCTTCAGCTCAAGGTGAGCACTCTACCACTTGAGCTACAGCGCCACTTCTGGTTTTCTGGTGGTTTTTATTGGAGATAAGAGTTTCACGGACTTTCCTGCCCAGGCTGGCTTTGAACCAAGATCCTCAGATCTCAGCCTCCTGAGTAGCTAGGATTACAGGCGTGAGCCACCGGCGTCTGGCTAAATTAGGGAAATTTTTATTGGGGGAATGTAATCCCACTGTAGATCCATATTCAAGGTCGTGGGAAGCCTCAAGTTTAGGAAAAACTGGTTTAGAAAGTTTTAGCAAAATGGGGCTGGGAAGGCGGCTCAGTGGTAGAGCGCTTGCCTTGCATGCATGAGGCCCTGAGTTTGATTTCTCAGCACCACATGAGCAAAAAGAAAAAAGCTGGAAGTGGTGCTGTGGCTCAAGTGGTAGAACGCTAGCCTTGAGCTGAAGAGCTGAGGGACAGCGTCCAGGCCCAGAGTTCAGGCCCCATGACCGGACCCAAAAAAAGCAAAACAAAAAAAAACAAAAACAAAAAAACACGAAAGTTTTAGCAAAACAGATAAACAAAAATCTTTCATTTTTCTAGGTATGTGAGGCAAAGGTCACAAGTGGGTGGTCCAGGAAATGCGTGGGCCTCAAAGTTTGCTGCTCAAAGCAAAAGTCTATACACACACAGTCCCTTTGAGAGGTGGAGGCTGCTTCGCTCCTTAATGTGGCTAGACAGGCTTGTAAATAATTGCATCCCCAAACTTAAGGGAATTCTTTTATATAAACTAAGATATTCTGGGGCAGTCAAATCCATTACTAACCAAACCCAATTCTCTGACTTGAAAGAGAAACTCTGAGGGAAAGGAAGAACCAAAAGTAGAACAGGGAATCAGGTACCAGCGGCTCATACCTTTAATCCTTGCTGCTCAGGAGGCTGAGAAGCCAGTCCTAAACAGGGAAATCTCCAAGACTCTTATTTGGAATTAACCAGCAAAAAGCTAGAACTGGATAAGTGGCTCCAGAGAACTAGTCATAAGCAAAAAAACCAAGTAAGAGCATGAGAGCCTTAGTTCAAGCCCTAGTACCCTGAAAAACAAACTAAAAGCAAAAAGACTTAGGGGCATGACTCAAGTGATAATTCAGTTGCCTAGTAAGTAAAATGGTCCTGGGTGCAATCTCCAATACCACTATTTTTTTTTTTTTTGGCAGAGCACTAGCCAATAGGTAAAAATGGCATATACTAAGTTTGAGTCCTGGTCTTGGACCTAAAAAACAAACAAACAAATAAAACAAAGCAAAACAAAAACCAAAAAAGGAAAGGAAGGATGGAAAGAGTGATATGTCCCTTTGGCCAAAGAGGGAACATCAAAAGGCAGATAGAGCAATACTATTTACATTTAATGGGATAAACAGATTAAAATGATTTTCAGGTCTCCGTTGTGTACCTGTGCAAGATCGGCTGCAGAAATTTTGATGTCTGATAACCGGGGAGGCCGGTGATCCCCAGGCTCCAGTTTAGAGTAATATTTCTCAAACATCTCTGTCTCCGTTCTGAGAGCTGAATTCCCATAGCTGAAAGGCAGAGGAACCTAAGTAAGTTCTAACAGGAATTTATACCCCCAGCTAACCAGTTCTTAGTACTTACTAGCCACATTGGCTTGCTGAAGGTGTGGAACCTCTTACTGTCTTATTTTCTTCACCTATAAAATGGTGTTGCATTTTAGGGCTGCAACAAGGAATGCAAAGACTTTGGGCCAGATAGTTCCAGACCACCAGAATAAGTGCTAGTCAAGTGTTTGGTATCTTTGTTATTATGTTTAATGAGACATAAAATTCAGTGTACTGGTAGAACATTGAAAATGATTTTTATTGGTTGTATCTTCAAGTATCATTTAACTCATTTGTGAAATTCCTTCTGAGTTGCTACCTTCTTGAAGTTATACATGCCACCATCTTCAGATATTTTCTTTGGTTTATGTTTCTCAGCAGTCTTACATCTAGTACTGACAGATGAAAGAATAAACAATGGAAAACTTTAAACAACTAGAGATGAGAAATCAAGGCTGTTTTAAATATGCAAGATTGTGATCTTTTTGAGCTTCTTAACATCTCACATCTATGTAATTTAGCATATTTTGTATATATGTGGGTGCATATTGCACATACGTTAAGAAAGAATACTGCTGATTTGTTAGTGTTGTTTTGGCAGATACTGGAGTTTGAACTCCAAGACTTGCACTCACTCAGCTTGCTTGCTTGGCTGATGCTCTTCCACTTGAGCCATACTTTCAGCCCAGCTTTTTGCTGGTAATTTTGGAGATGAAGTCTTATAGACTTTAGTGCCTGCACTGGCTTCAAACTGGATCTCAGCATCCTGGGTAACTAGGATTACAGGCATGATTCACTGTTGCCCAGCTAGCATGGATGTTTTCATATATTATTGAGCTAATTCCTCTTTGGCTAATTTTTTGACAGTCCGGAGGCTTGAACTCAGGGCCTGGGATGTCCCTGAGCTTCTTTTGCTCAAGGATAGCACTGTACCACTTGGGCCACAGTGCCACTTCCAGCTTTTTCTATGTATATGGTACTGAGGAATCGAACCCAGGGCTTCATGCAAGCACTCTACCACTAAACCACATTCCCTGTATGACTAATTTTTAAGATTAGTGGAGAAGGCTCAATGGTAAACATAAAATAGCCAAGTATCTTGATTTTCCAGCATATATCATATTTGTGGTGTAGCCTGTGGAGTTGCTCCTGAGTCTGAAGCCCAGAACAAACATTCACTGGGTATGTGAACTTAGGGAAATGACCTCCCAGGATTTCTGATATTGCTTTAGGTCATCTATACAAAATGCATGTCAAATAATAAGCACTCAAAAACTGATAGCAACAGGCCAATTGTGGCCTATTTATAGATGTATAAATCAACATCTCCTTAGTTGCAGAAATCAGAATACTCTGCAAGACCACTGATTTATAGGATGAACCTACATCATGGAATCCTTGTATTCCATTTACTTTCTAGGGTAGATACAAGTCAGAGAGCTAACAATAGTCCTTCCTCGCTGTCTATAGTGATTCTTTTTTCTCTTTTCTCTTTCTTTTGTGTCGGTCCTAGGGCTTGAACTCAGGGCTAGAATGCTGTCCTTGAGCTTCTTTTGCTCAAGGCTAGTGTTCTACCCCTTGAGCCACAGCTCCACTTTCTATTGTTGTTGTTGTTGTTGTTGTTGTTGTTGTTGGTGGTGGTGGTGGTGGTGGTGGTGGTGGTGGTGGTGGTGGTGGTGGTGTGTGTGTGTGTGTGTGTGTGTGATTTAGTGGAGATAAGAGTCTTACAGGCACTGATGGCTCATGCCTGTAATCCTAGCTACTCAAGAGGGTGAGATTTGAGAATCACAGTTCAAAGCCATCCCTGCCAGGAAAGTCTGTGAGACTCTGATCTGCAATTGACACTAAATGCTGGAAGTGGAGCTATGGCTCAAAGTGGTAGAGCCCTAGCCTTAGGCAGAAAAGCTCAGGGACAGCTCCCAGGCCCTGAGTTCAAGCCCCACAAATGACAGAAAAGAAAAAAAAACGCTTTACAGACTTTCCCAGGCTTCAAGATGCAATCTTCAGATCTCATCCTCCTGAGTAGCTAAGATTACAGGCCCGAGCCACCAGCACCTGGCTCTATTGCCATTTTTATGCCCTGGTTCTGCAATGTTGCCTTAGAGGTAAATCATCCCAATTGCTTCCCTTCTGCCCTGCTGCCTTATTAATTTTATCACTAGCATTGGGAAGAGGCTTAGAGGTCACCTGAGGTAGGATTGGGAAGCTCCTGGGCACATAGCCTGGCACCAGTCAGATACCAGGGCCTCAAGTTCTAGCTTCACTAATAACCTTCACCAGTGACGCTTGGGGTTTCTGAGGGTTTTCCACTCTTTCACCCCGACCCTGGTTTCCTGGTTTTATCAACAGCTTGTTAGGTCTGGCGCTGGAGCCCCTGGGACCACCAAGCAAAGTTCTACTTGGAGGGGAGGGGGGGGAAAGGGGGAGGAGAGGCCTCAGTTTCCCCGCTGTTCACGGATGGTCTCCACGCTGGAGCCTAGGTTTTAGGCCTCTGGGGCAGAGGGTCCACGTTGAAGGGTGATGGCCCATAGAAGACACTGGCCGATACCTGAGTTCATCCACCAGCCCGCACAGCTGGATAACAGGCAGGTCGTTCTCCTCGCTCCCCTGGGAGTCCGTGAGGCCGCTGTCGCTCTCATCATCAGTCATCATGCTGCTCAAGCGGCCCTGGACCGCGTCTAGAGGGTCCCGCGAGTCCCTGGTGCTTCCAGCCATTTGTCACTCACAACGCGACCCTGCTGCTGCTACGCGTTGCTAGGATGACCGACCATGGGCGGGAGGGGCGGGAGGGGCGGGGCGGGAGGGGCGGGGCTTCCGTAGGGCACGCCCACCTCCCCAGCCTATCGCCGCGAGGGTGGATGAGGCTGCTGGCCCCGCCCCGACACCCAGACCTGGTCGATTTCCCTCCGAAAGTTGGTGGGAATGTTGCAGCGGGGGTTGCTTCAGCCCTCCTTATATCTGGCACGGTGCGAAGTTTCATTTATGAAAACCCTTGCAACAACCCTGCAATACTGTCTGTTATGCTGTCCGTTCTGATCACCAGGAACCCAGGCAGTTCACAAGGATTTCTGGGAGTGTCTTACGTTTCCTTCTCTTATTGTGAGATCCCCTACTCTGTACCTCACAGACCAACTGCTGTCTCCTTCAGAGACCCACGTCTTGCATTGCTGGAAGAAAACAACATGGCTATACATTTCCAGAGGGGTTGAAAGCAGCCCAGTTGACAGAGCGCTAGCCAATAAGAGAATGCGTTAGATACGAAGTTTGAGCCAAAAAAAAAAAAAAGAAAGAGATGCGCCTTCGTGAGGACTGGCTATCTATTATGTCCTGGTGGAAGGCATTTGAGAGTGACCAATCAAAAGGCTTCCAGTTAAATGAGGGAAATTGCCCCTAAATAAGCTGTTGTGGCCCGCTGTGATGATAGGGCCAGACCTAATGGTGCTGTACAATTAGGAGTGGTGAAGGTGGCAAATTTCAGTTTTGTAGTTTTTTGACTATCTATTTTTTATTTTCATTTTTTTGTTGTTGACCTAGGGTTTGAACTCAGGGTCGGGGTGCTGTCTTTGAGCTTCTTTTGCTCAAGAATAGTGCTCTACCACTTGACCTACAACTCCATGTCTGGTTTTCTTAGGGATGGTTAATTGGAGATAAGAGTGTCACAAATCTTCCTAGTGGGCTATCTTTGAATGGCAGTCCCCAAACCTCAGCCTCCTGAGTGGCTAGGATCACAGGTATGAGCCAGCAGTGCCAGGCTTTGACCATCATTGTAAAGCAGTGAAACAATGTGAACTTCAGGATATAATAATTTTGTTTGAAAAGAGCAAATTTTAGCCCCTTTCCTACATATGTTCCTAAATTTGAATACTACCTTTAATATTGAAATTTATATGGATGCAACTGGAGATTGTGTTGAGTGAGATAAAATAAAAAGCTAAATATCTCATACTTTTGCTAATATGTAGACTCTAGACCTAAAATGATGATGGTGGTGATTATGACAAATAATGAGATGTGAGTCTAAAAAGGGGATCACTGGGAAGAGGAGGATATAAGGAAAGGGTACTAGAGGAGGGTGGGAGAATATTAAAGACATGATAAGAAAGAAAATTACAAATAGACACCCCCCATCAATATAGACATAAAAAATATGTAGGAAATCCAATAAATTCTACAAAGAAAGCTACCAGAACTAACAAGTGAGTGTGGCAACACAATAGGATGCAGAATCAGTATACAAAAACATTTGCATTGCTAGAGCAATAAATAATTGGAAATTGAAATATAAATCAAGCACTGATGTGAATTGGACTAACATATTAATGGAACAGAATACAGTTTTGAAACAGACCTACATGGATATAAGTAAAATGACTTTGCACAAAGGTAGGAAAGCAATTATTGGAGAAAGGACAGTAGTGCTAGAACAATTGGATTTTCATTAAAAAATAAAATTCCATTCATATCTCATATCCTATGCAGAATTAAATAAAAATTTACTGTAGACTAAAGTATAAAATCTAAAACTATAAAAACTTACTGAAGAAAATACAGAAATTATTTTGGACATTTTTAGGCAAAGGATTAGGCAAAAGAAATCTTAAATACAACATCAAAAGCTCATGCATTTAAAAAAATCAGTAAAACTTCTCTTCAACAGGGGTTGATAGGAGGAGTGGTAAGGCTATCTGTCTAGCAAGAACAAGATCATGAGTTCAAACCTCAGTACCACCAAAAGGTCTTAAGAGAATGAAGAAACAAATTTCAGTTAAAGAGTAAATAATTTCAAATCACATATCTGAAAAATGACTTGTGTCTAGGATGCAAAAAAAAAAAAACAAAACAATCAGAAATCAATCACAAGTCGGCCGCTGGTGGCTCATACCTGTAATCCTAGCTACTCAGGAGGCTGAGATCTGAGGATCGAGGTTCAAAGCCAGCTGGGGCACAAAAGTCCTTGAGACTCTTATCTCCAATTAACCACCAGAAAACCAGAAGCGGCGCTGTAGCTTGCCTTGAGTTGAAGAACTCAAGGACAGCTCCCAGGCCCAGAGTTCAAGCCCCACAACCAACCAACCAACCAACCAAATCAATCAATCAATCAATCACAAGAACAGAAATAATCACTTCTTCAAATGGGCAAAAAATGTGAATTTTCTCTCCTCCCTCCCCACAGGAGACAGTGTCTTGATAAACTGATCTTAAACTGTATTCCTTATGCCACCCAAGTAGTTGGAACTATAAGTATGTACCACAGTACCAACTAGCATGCAACAGATTTAAGCAGACATTTCATTTCATTAAGAAGACAATCATACTGGTTGCCACTGGTTACACCTGTAATCCAAGCTACTCAAGAGGCTGAGATCTGCGGATGAAGATTTGAAGTCAGCCCTAGCTGGAATCTCTGATTAGCTTCCAAAAAACTGAAAGTGGAGCTGTAACTAAGTGGTAAAGTACTAGCCTTGAGCACAAAGACAGTATGTAGGCCCTGAATTCACGCCCAGCACTGGCACACACACACACACACACACACACACACACACACACACACACACACAGAGCTGTGCATCACTTAGCGGTAAGGATATAGTCTAAGAAATGGGTTGTTAGGTAATTTCAACATCATAGAGTATACTTATGTAAACCTAAGTGATATAGTCTGCTACACACCTATTCTATAAGGTGTATGTATAACATACACACCTACTGTGTAACATTTCTCTAGGGCTAAGATGATGCAAACAAGATTGAATTAGGAGAATATAACGCAAACCAAGATATGATGTAAGTGCAAAATGTAGGAAGCTGTTGCTAGGGGAACATGGCCTACTGATTTACAATCACCTTCTTATGTAAGTAGAAGTAATCCAGTCTAAAATAATGATAACGAGTAAATAAACCAGCAACATAGAGGTTTGGTGCAATTATGGAATAATTTTTTCCAATATACATGTGCTGTGATTCTTCTTTGCCCCTCCAAGTCACCACCCTACCTATCTTTGTGCCAGTGATGCCTCCTTCCCAGGCCCTTCTCCAAAACCTCACCCTGCCACTCTGTGCCCTGTCCTTTGTTTGGACCTAACTATTCTCCAAAGGCCCTGGTGGTGAAGGCTTGGTTCTCAGCGAGGCACCATTGGAAGGTGATGAGACCTTTTAAGAAGCCTAGTCAGAGGATTCGAGAGGACCCTAGTCGTTTCTCCTCTCACTCCCTGGTTTTGAACTTTGTTGCTATGCCACACCCTTCTTCCATAGGCCCAACCCCATGATCCCGGACTGAAAGCTCCAAAACTGTGAACCAAATCAAACCTCTTCTCTTTGTAAGTTGATTTTCTCCAGGCCTTTGCCATAGTGATGGAAAGCTGACACACACACTCCGGAAAGCTGGTTCCTGTGAATTCCCAAGCCCCCTTGCCAGCTGGCTTCTGGACTGTTTCAGCCTGCCTGCCTTCCCATCCTTGAGGGTTTCCTTTGCTTTGCTCATGTATGAAGAGTCCCTTGCAGTTGAGCATGGAGTATCGAGCCTGTAATCGTAATTACTTGGGAGGTGGAGATGAGGAGTGCCAGGACTAGCCCTGGGGAAAAACTGTTCTTGAGACTCCAGCTCATCCAATGGGCTGGAGCAGTTGCCTGTGTCTATTATCCCAGCTACAGGGGAAGCACAATGCCCTAGGAGCAGTAGCTTCATGCCTCACAGTATGAGAAGGGACAAATAGGAGGATCGCAATCCAGACTGGCCTAAGCATAAAATAAGGCCATCCTTGAAAATAACCAGCACAAAAAAGGGCTATAAATAAGCCTGGCTCAAATGGTGGAGTGCAAGCTCCAGGCTCTGGGTTTGATCCCAGTACCACCTAAATAAATAAATAGTCATTTACTGAGATCTCTTTGGTCACACTGGGTACAATTCAATTCTACTTCCTATGGGACTTTAAGTGATAAAATACACCTACACTCCCTGAGCAGGACTGGATAGAGAGGATTATGCTAGAGGCCTCTGGAAGAGAGAGCTGTTGAATATGCAGTCACTCCAAAGTATAGATCTATTCGGCTCAGGCCTACGTAGGGGGCAATACCTGGTGTCTAGAAGAATCAAGAAAGGATGTGAGGGACTCAGAATTAAATTGTTCCCATGGCCAGGATTCCAACCCTGGCTACTTAAAACTTACTGAATTCTCTCCATGTTTTCGTCCCCATTACCACCTGTATACATTGTAAGTGGACCACCTTAGGCATCTTATAAGGAGTTGGAGTAAGCAAAAGGGATGGTTTAGAAAGATGGGAGGAGCCATTGCTCCAGTTTGAAGTCAGATTATTTCATGAGGGATAATTGCCATTGTTGGTACTTTGTGTATTTACTCCCTGTGAGGTAATATTATTATTGCTTAATTCAAGAACTATGCCAACTGTTGTTTCAGTTACTATTGATTGAGTGCTGGCTGGATGATCAATGCTGTTGGAAGCATGTCCTTCGCACCCATGTGTTTCATCAGTATTGATGATTCTGTGACATACAGGTGACTCCATGGTCCCTGTTGTGTTCGTAAGAAGACTGAGCCCCAAAGAAGTTAAGCAACTTACCCAAGGCCACATAGCTCTTCTGGGTGCAGCTAAAAATTTAAATCCAGGTTCCCCTATCATTCTTCTCTGTCTTTTCATCCTGTAGGCTCTGTCAGAGTAGTGGCCC